AGCGGTTTTGGGGTTTTGCCAATTACTACCAGAGGTTTATCCGGGGTTTTGGACAGGTAGCAGCTCCCATCACCTCCCTGCTAAAGGGGGGCCCGGTGCGTTTGCAGTGGTCGGCTGAGGCGGACAGGGTGTTTAGACAACTGAAGGACCTGTTCACCTCGGTTCCGGTGCTGGCACATCCGGACCCCTCTTTGGCGTTCCAAGTGGAGGTGGACGCGTCAGAGGCGGGTATTGGGGCTGTACTGTCTCAACGTTCAGGCACGCCTCCTAAACTCCGGCCCTGTGCTTTTTACTCTAAGAAGCTCAGCCCGGCGGAACATAATTACGACGTTGGGGACAGGGAGCTGCTAGCTGTGGTCCAAGCCCTAAAGGTGTGGAGGCATTGGCTTGAGGGGGCTCAACATCCTTTTCTCATTCTGACTGACCATCATAACCTGGAGTACATCCGGGCAGCTAGGAGACTGAACCCTCGTCAGGCTAGGTGGGCCATGTTTCTGGCCCGGTTTGTCTTTAAGCTCACCTATATACCAGGGTCACAAAACGTTAAGGCAGACGCCCTGTCCCGGCGATATGACACAGAGGAGAGGTCCATTGAGCCCACTCCCATGCTTCCGGAGTCTTGTCTGGTGGCACCGGTGGTGTGGGAGGTCGATGCGGAGATTGAGCGGGCGTTACGTACCGACCCTACTCCTCCAGAGTGTCCGGAGGGGCGGAAGTACGTGCCGCTCGAGATTCGTGATCGACTAATTTATTGGGCTCACACGTCACCCTCCTCTGGTCAGCCTTAGTGAAAAGTACTGGTGGCCAACATTGGCAAAGGACGTGAGGGTTTATGTCTCCTCCTGCTCGGTGTGCGCTCAGTGTAAGGCGCCTAGACACCTGCCCAGGGGGAAGTTACAACCCCTACCCGTTCCACAACGGCCGTGGTCTCACCTATCGGTAGACTTTGTCACGGACCTTCCCCCCTCCCAGGGGAATACCACTATTTTGGTTGTTGTGGATCGGTTTTCTAAGGCCTGTCGTCTCATTCCAATGCCGGGTCTCCCTACTGCCCTACAAACTGCTGAGGCCCTGTTTACTCACGTCTTCCGGCACTACGGGGTACCTGAGGATATAGTGTCTGATCGGGGTCCCCAGTTCACCTCTAGAGTCTGGAGGGCGTTTATGGAACGGTTGGGGGTCTCGGTTAGCCTTACCTCGGGTTTCCACCCTGAGAGTAATGGGCAGGTGGAGAGAGTAAACCAGGATGTGGGTAGGTTTCTGAGGTCCTATTGCCAGGACCGGCAGGAGGAGTGGTCGGGGTATATCCCCTGGGCAGAGATTGCCCAGAACTCCCTTCGCCACTCCTCTACTAATCTGACTCCTTTTCAGTGTGTGTTGGGGTATCAGCCGGTTTTGGCACCCTGGCATCAGAGCCAGATCGTGGCTCCTGCGGTGGATGAATGGTTTCGGCGCTTGGAGGAAACATGGAACGCTGCGCATGTCCATCTGCAGCGGGCTATCCGTAGGCATAAGGCGAGCGCCGATCGCCACCGTAGTGAGGGTCCAGCATATGCACCTGGAGATCGAGTCTGGCTCTCGACTCGAAACCTACCCCTTCGCCTGCCCTGCCGGAAGCTGGGTCGGCAGTTTGTGGGGCCATTTAAAGTCCTGAGGAGATTGAACGAGGTATGTTACAGGTTACAACTGCCAAATGATTATCGCATTAACCCCTCGTTCCATGTGTCTCTCCTCAGGCCGGTGGTAGCTGGTCCACTCCAGGACAATGAGATACGAGAGGCTCCTCCACCCCCACTGGACATCGAGGGGGCTCCGGCGTACTCAGTCCGGTCCATCGTGGATTCGAGACGTCGGATGGGGGGTCTGCAGTATTTCGTGGAGTGGGAGGGGTACGGTCCGGAGGAACGGTGCTGGGTGCCTAGGAGGGACATCTTAGATCCCTCCCTCTTGACGGAGTTCCACCGGAGTCATCCCACTCGCCCTGCTCCGCGTCCTCCTGGCCGTCCCCGGGGTCGGGGTCAGCGCACGGCTGGAGCCGCGCGTCAAGGGGGGGGGGGGGGTACTGTCACGGATTCTGCCGAGGCTGCTCCTCCTCCTTGCTCGGGCAGGCTTCGGCGTTCGTCGTCCCCGGAGTACTAGCTACTGCCGATCGATGTTTTCGGTGTTTGTCTTGTGTTGTCTAGTTTATACACCTGTTGCTTATTAGTGTTGATTGTGTAGCATATAAGTTCCCTTGTTTTACGTTTGGCCTTTGTGTGTTATTGTGTATTGTCTCGTTGATGTTCGGCATAGCTATTTCGCCTCATTACGCACATGTGGTGTCAATTGCAATCCCACTGGTGTTAAAGCTGCAAAATGTATCAGTTTGGGCGACCCGACCAAATTCACATAGAAATGTGAGTTATATATATATATATATATATACAGTGGGGAGAACAAGTATTTGATACACTGCCGATTTTGCAGGTTTTCCTACTTACAAAGCATGTAGAGGTCTGTAATTTTTATCATAGGTACACTTCAACAGTGAGAGACGGAATCTAAAACAAAAATCCAGAAAATCACATTGTATGATTTTTAGGTAATTAATTTGCATTTTATTGCATGACATAAGTATATGATCACCTACCAACCAGTAAGAATTCCGGCTCTCACAGACCTGTTAGTTCTTCTTTAAGAAGCCCTCCTGTTCTCCACTCATTACCTGTATTAACTGCACCTGTTTGAACTTGTTACCTGTATAAAAGACACCTGTCCACACACTCAATCAAACAGACTCAAACCTCTCCACAATGGCCAAGACCAGAGAGCTGTGTAAGGACATCAGGGATAAAATTGTAGACCTGCACAAGGCTGGGATGGGCTACAGGACAATAGGCAAGCAGCTTGGTGAGAAGGCAACAACTGTTGGCGCAATTATTAGAAAATGGAAGAAGTTCAAGATGACGGTCAATCACCCTCGGTCTGGGGCTCCATGCAAGATCTCACCTCGTGGGTCATCAATGATCATGAGGAAGGTGAGGGATCAGCCCAGAACTACACGGCAGGACCTGGTCAATGACCTGAAGAGAACTGGGACCACAGTCTCAAAGAAAACCGTTAGTAACACACTACGCCGTCATGGATAAAAATCCTGCAGCGCACGCAAGGTCCCCCTGCTCAAGCCAGCGCATGTCCAGGCCCGTCTGAAGTTTGCCAATGACCATCTGGATGATCCAGAGGAGGAATGGGAGAAGGTCATGTGGTCTGATGAGACAAAAATAGATCTTTTTGGTCTAAACTCCACTCGCCGTGTTTGGAGGAAGAAGAAGGATGAGTACAACCCCAAGAACACCATCCCAACCGTGAAACATGGAGGTGGAAACATCATTCATTGGGGATGCTTTTCTGCAAAGGGGACAGGACGACTGCACCGTATTTAGGGGAGGATGGATGGGGCCATGTATCGCGAGATATTGGCCAACAACCTCCTTCCCTCAGTAAGAGCATTGAAGATGGGTCGTGGCTGGGTCTTCCAGCATGACAACGACCTGAAACACACAGCCAGGGCAACTAAGGAGTGGCTCCGTAAGAAGCATCTCAAGGTCCTGGAGTGGCCTAGCCAGTCTCCAGACCTGAACCCAATAGAAAATCTTTGGAGGGAGCTGAAAGCCCGTATTGCCCAGCGACAGCCCCGAAACCTGAAGAATCTGGAGAAGGTCTGTATGGAGGAGTGGGCCAAAATCCCTGCTGCAGTGTGTGCAAACCTGGTCAAGACCTACAGGAAATGTATGATCTCTGTAATTGCAAACAAAGGTTTCTGTACCAAATATTAAGTTCTGCTTTTCTGATGTATCAAATACTTATGTCATGCAATAAAATGCAAATGAATTACCTAAAAATCATACAATGTGATTTTCTGGATTTTTGTTTTAGATTCCGTCTCTCACAGTTGAAGTGTACCTATGATAAAAATGACAGACCTCTATATGCTTTGTAAGTAGGAAAACCCGCAAAATCGGCAGTGTATCAAATACTTGTTCTCCCCACTGTATATAGTATCCTTGCTGTGGTGTAACACTCGCAACATGGACAGCTTTTAATGGAATAATACACCTCAGTAGCACTCATGTCTGACAACTGTACAATGATCCTTTCTTTCCATAACAGGCTTGACCACTAAAGCCTGGTTATTATGAGCTATTTGAGCCACTTGGTAATCTATACATCGAGCAGCAGCCTCTGTGTGCACTAGATAAAGACCGTTGGAACCCTGCTCTGCCAGCATGGATATCAAGACCCTTTATCCTTATCAGAGGGTCTGAGCCTCTACAGAGGAGCCTTGAGAGCAGCTCAGCAGCACAGTGTTTTGCCCTTTGAGCAGAAGGTCTTCCCCAGTGATTAAAAACCAGTCCAGCAGCAGGGCATCACAAGTCACTCTACACAACCAGAGATTGCACCATTGTGTAAAAAGTGTTGGGGAAGGACAGTGTTTTCACGATAGACACAGAGCAATTATCAGAACACATTGAAAACAGCATGGCACCATTCATCTTTTAGGAAATGGCACATACAGATCCAAATGGCACCAGAGTTGCTGTGCAGACATGATATTTTCCACCCAGCATGGCCTGAATCTGAATATGAGTCTTCTAATGCAGGCCAAGCTGTGTTGTTCTGTCCACTCTGCAATTGGAACAGTATAATCCTATGTTGTATTCTTCTTTCAATACTCAGAGCACAGATAAACGTTGGCCTCGTCTTGGGTCGGGGCCAGGGCCTCTGCCTATCTTTACACTCTTCATTCTGGCAGAGGGGACTGGGGTTGTGGGCTGGGTCTGGCTGTAACATGCTCTTGAGCCCTTTTTCTCTCTCCTCACTATGACTATGGTAGACGGTGTTTGCTAATGGAGTGTGCCCTGCCTGTGTGTGTGTGTGCATCCCAGCCTGTGAGTTTGTTTGTGTGTGTGTTTGTTAATGTGTGTGTGCATACTAATGTATGTGTGTGACATTGCAGGGAGTTTGGCCGCTGGAAGGTGAACAGCCTGGCTCTAGAGAGACAGGATAACAATGATCTGGCCCTGCCTCTGGACCCTGAGTTCCTCCAGACCATCAGGCACCTGGGCAGACGGCCCAGCCTCAGCTCAATCACAGACAGCATCATCAGGAAGTATGGAACACACTTCCTACTCTCAGCCACCCTGGGGGGTAAGAATAATAAAACATGTATTTATTTATTGGTGTAATGATTGGAAGGCCAATTTCTTTCCACTCAATCTGTATGCTGCTGATTCTCAGCTTCAGAAACACATTATTTCTTTGCTGTATAGGTGTCGTATTGGATGTGGACTATTCCCGGCCCAGTTCTCAGTGCATATTCTGCTCCTCTCTGTGCCCTTGTTTGTGTTTAGGGGAGGAGTCGTTAATGATCTTTGTGGACAAGCAGCGGTTGAGTAGGACAGTGGAGGCAAGCGAGGCCAACAGTACGGCCGTGACTCTGGAGGCTCTGCACCAGCTGGCTGCCTCCTACTTCATCGACAGAGAAAGCACCCTGCGCAAGCTGCACCACATCCAGATAGCATCCACAGCCATCAAGGTAAACCTAGGTACACACATCACAAACCATACAATGGTTCGAATCAACCTAGCAGTTTAGCTTTGTATTTCCATCTGTGATGTGTGCTGTAGCTGTGTCTGTTGGCTTGGTGGTGGGGGTGTTGGTGCCAGGATTAAATTTTCCTACATAGCAGGATGTGTGTTTGATTTAAATATCATCAGTCCATTCCATCTTTCATTCCCAGAGCCTTCTAGCTGGGTCCATCATTATTACTGAATAGTGAATGTGATCGGCTGAGTTTTCCCTTTGCACAGCAGGACATGTTTGTCAGACTCAGCATTCAGACTGATTAGTTGCCTGTGAGCCTGTGATTTATTTACATGTACCTGTGACAATGACAGGATTATCATTGAGGAAATTCCCTTGCACAGGCACCTTGTATAAGAGCGGTGTTTCCCAAATGGCAGTTTTGGACGAGCTGGTGAGCCACTCCCAGCTAATTTACATTTCTTTAAGAGTCATGGTATAAAACTACACAGCTGGACTGTTTTGTTCATAATGAGGCTTTGGGAACCAATGTCACAGTCATCCCTAACGTAATTATACAGTTGAGTGTTGATTCCTAACACTATCTGAGATTAATTAAAAATGAAGTTGTTGTTTGAAAGCGTCCATCCATTTATCATTGACTCATCCCAGTGCTATCCCATCTTGGGCAACCACAGACAGATAAGGCCATATTCCTTAAAGTGAATTGGCAAAAGGACACATCATGGCTGCGTTGGAAGTGTCCTCGTGGACAAAGTGTTGCTAAAACCGTCTGATTAAGTTGAATGGAGCAGAAGTCCTCTGAGGTGCATTTGTTTGGGAAGCAGTTTCAAGTTACTGATGTGAAATATTCACAGCATCAGCAGGCTTTAATTCAGGCCATGGATTTCTACCTCACTCAGATGAAGACGGATGGCAAGACAAAAGCGTCACATAGAGAGAGCACCAGACAACGTCTTTAAGAGATAGATTTTCAAGAGGAGAAAAACCTGTCGTCCTAGTATAACGCAGGAGATATAGCTACTGTATAACACTCCGGGTGAAAAATAAATGGAAGGGGAAAAGAAAATAGATAAAGAGGGGAGGGGAAGTGGTGCCTCTACAATTACGCATGAGAGATGAATTATCGGTTCCATTTCAATAATTTCTTTGAGATCTCGCCCCATATGTCAGCCATTTTGGGTATGAGTTAATGTGTCTCACACTGTCCGTAATAAACGGTGCTTTAACCTACCAGCGAGCAAGGAACACTGACAGGAAACACTAAAAGCACTGGGTGGACATAAATCAGGTGGTTTAAGTTTGATTTACAACTCAGGTCAAGTTCTACTGAGGTTTATCACAATTAGCCTGAAAAACAACTTGCCATCGATGTGAGAAAGGACAGAGGAATGTGTTTGACCCAATTCTCTGGTCTGCTAGGATGTGGTGTTCAGTCATTCACACCATGTTATGGTTCATTTGTAGGAGAATAAAGAGAATTTGCTAGGCTGAGCTTTGGAACGCAAGAGAAATCTAGTGAGAAATGACGGTAGCAGCAGTTCACGATGTAGAACGGATTTAATGTAAAAACTGTAGCTATTTGAATACATAAATGATAGAATAACACTATTTTACCAAGATACTCAGAAAACATCATCAAATACATAAATACATGTATTATGATCATCAGACGAATTACTGTCATCACTGAACGATGGGACAACATCATTTACTTTAAGATTTCTGACAGTGATTTTTTTTTGCTTGCGTGATGTTATTGTTGGCTAGACTAGCCCAGACAAGGGATGGGCAACTCCAGTCCTCGGGGACAGAGTGTAACTTTTCCCCCATCGCCTAGCAAACACAGCTGATTAAACTAATTGCATTCTAAACTGAAGATCATGATTAGTTGATTATTGGAGTCAGGTGTGTTAGCTGGTGCTGACACCAATCAGACCCCCGGGGACTGGAGTTGCCCACACCTGGCCTAGTCCATACTTAGCGGCAGATGGCAAAGACATGTTCTGATTGGCCTGTCTGTATTTGTTAAGGCTTGTGATTGAATTGCAGATAGAACCTTATAGTGCCAAGTTCAAATGGGTTTATGGAGATAAAACGTACTAGTTGTTCCCTTTTTTCACTTAAAATTTACTTTTTCAAAAATCTAACTTCACAGACATATGAAGAACCATCTGAAGATATGTGACTAACTCATTTTTGACAAAAATGTCAGATTGAACCGTAGAGTACCAAGGTCTCGATGTCCTCCCTCTCAAGAAAAAGGCACCCTCGGATGCAAAAACAAGAGGAAGTTTGTTATTTTCTATCAAGGTCATAGAATCTGGGGGAACTTTACAAATTAGGTAAAGATATGAGCTGTAGTCAGCTTCGCTTACCGTTAAACCTCTGTCTGGGTCATCAGTCAAGCTTCTCAATCGCAAGCTGTGCATAATCTTAAACGTTAGCCAGCTCGGTTTCCTCTCTGCAATGTTGTCTGGTCAGAGCACCAGAATTATTAAGCTCTGAGAGAAGGGAAGAGGACCGCTCAATCACTCCGTCAGTATGAATTAGCCTAGTATCAAGCCCCTTCTGTCGGTCTGGACTTCATCACATCTTCTTGCAAGTCTCCATGTGCTGGCTCCATAAATGTTTCTGTGGACACATACACACAGTCACTGTTCTATTACCAATGGCAGTTAGGGATATGTGATATCTGACACTGAAACATATCCTATCTTGAAGTTTGAACAGATCAGATAAAACCTACCCAATTATGGTCTCCCCATCAATCGACTGAGGCTGCCGTCTGACAGAAACATCCCCAGTCCATCTGTAGAAATAGGCAGAGTTTAGGCAGAGTTCATCAGTGAGACAAAAAAGGGTGTTGCTATTACTGGATATTTGTGCTGTACTATATTATTAGTATTGACCTCATTGTGAATGTGTTGAGTGGATGTGTTGAGTGCCAGGTCTCTCTGCATTTCATGCATCTGTGAACACATACACACAGTCACTGTTCTGTTACCAATGGCAGATAGGGCTAGGTAATATCTGACACACAAACATATACTATGTTGAAGTTTGAACAGGTCATCCTAAATCTACCTAATTCTGTTCACCCCATCAACGACCGTTGGTGAGCAAGCAAGAGGTGAGGCTGGAGGTGAGGTATTTTCCAGCGCACAATTGATGGGCATAGCAGCGTAGATCAGCTCCTTGCTCATCAAAGATACTGGTCGGTCACACACAAACACATAGACACAGAGCACTGATTACATTATCAATGGTGGTTATGATTAGCCTGGTGAATTAGCCTATATTTCACTTCAGATATCTTAAAATGTGAAGTGAAATAGGATTATATGCATCTAAGTAGTAGAAGATAAGCAATAAATAATGTCTGTTTCATAAATGATGTTTCACAATTGGGTTATCAAATGTATCAAAGTAATGAAGTGGGTTACCTTCTGTATTTGTACAAATGATGAGCCTGTGAAAGCTGTTGCCGCTGACAGGTGAAGATTGCTGGCTGGATACTTGCCAACATGTGGCTGACTGTTCCATTCATAGGAACGCTCACAGTGAGGGCATGTCTGCATGATGCTGATGAGGGCCCCCTTGCTGGTCTTCTCTATGCTGCATGTTCGGCTGCAACCTGGACCTCTCTCAAACAACTGCAGCAGGCAATCTTATGAGGTGGTGTTGACTGGAAGGGCCTGTGACAAGGTGATATAATAGACAGCCAAGTGGTAAAATTGCATTTTGTTTTAAAGAAAGGACAACGCTTTTTGCTAATGCGCTTCACAACCAAAATGACATTAACTAGTTGCATCTGCTTGGCTGGGGAATTAGCCTACCAGTTTATCAAGCCAGGTATTTTTTTATACACATTTTCACATAACATACAGTGCATTCGGAAAGTATTCAGACCCCTTGGCTTTTTTTCACATTTTGTTACATTACAGCCTTATTGCTTTTTTTCCTTCATCAATCTACAAACAATACCCCATAATGACAAAGCAAAAACAGGTTTGTAGAACTTTTTGGAAATGTATAAAAAAACAACAACTGAAATATCACATTTACATAAGTATTCAGACTCTTGTTGAAGCACCTTTGGCAGTGATTACAGCCCGAGTCTTCTTGGGTATGACGCTACAAGCTTGGCACACCTGTATTTGGGGAGTTTCTCCCATTCTTCTCTGCAGATCCTCTCAAGCTCTGCCAGGTTGGATGGAGAGCGTCGCTGCACAGGTCTCTCCAGAGATGTTAGATCGGGTTGAAGTCCGGGCTCTGGCTGGGCCACTCCTGCGTTGTCTTGGCTGTGTGCTTAGGGTCGTTGTCCTGTTGGAAGGTGAACCTTCGTCCCAGTCTGAGGTCCTGAGCGCTACTTTGCTCCGTTAATCTTTCCCTCGATCCTGACTAGTCTCCCAGTCCCTGCCACTGAAGCGGGCTGTCATGTGCCTTTTACTGAGGATTGGCTTCTGTCTGGCCACTCTACCATAAAGCCCTGATTGCTGGAGTGCTGCAGAGATGGTTGTCTTTCTGGAAAGTTATCCCATCTCCACAGAGGAACTCTGGAGCTCTTTCAGAGTGACCATCGGGTTCTTGATCACCTCCCTGACCAAGGCCTTTCTCCCCCGATTGCTCAGTTTGGCCGGGCGACCAGCTCTAGGAAGAGTCTTGGTGGTTCCAAATTTCTTCCATTTTGGAACGATGGATGCCATTGTGTTCTTGGGGACCTTCAATGCTGCAGACATTTTTTGGTACCCTTCCCCAGATCTGTGCCTCGACACAATCCTGTGTCGGAGCTCTACGGACAATTCCTACACCTCATGGCTTGGTTTTTGCTCTGACATGCACTGTCAACTTTGGGACCTTATATAGACAGGTGTGGGCCTTTCCAAATCATGTCCAATCAATTGAATTTACCACAGGTGGACTCCAATCAAGTTGTAGACCCATCTCAAGGATGATCAATGGAAACAGGATGCACCTGAGCTCAATTTCGAGTCTCA